CACCACTTAACATGGCAAGTTTTATGTTATGTATATTTTACCACAATAAAAAAAAAAAAAAAAGCAAATCAGGAGTCCAGGAGGATTCAGAATCACCAAGAAAAGAAGTTTATGGTTGGAAGGCTAGCTGTTCCCTGTAAAGTCCTCCGTCTGCCCCGTCTGGGAAACAGAGGGAGAGTTCCCTTTTCCCCACACACCGCCCCAACTTCTGACCTGCTTGGTCTCCTCTGATCTCCCAGCTGGCCTGCGAGTTGCTGCCTCTTCTAAAGCATTTGTGTCTCCCAAGAGCACCGGGAGCTAAGGATAGCCACTCTGGAAGTTGCGTTTCTGCCCTCTGGACTTTTGCAGAGATCAACTGTCTCACAACATCTCTGCTCAGGTGTCCAATTCTTGTGTTCCACTTGAGATTGGTTATTCCCAGAGGACCATTGAAACCCAGCAGAACAGAGCAGAGTTATTGTCCTGGTATTAAAATATTTCATCCTTTTGAGAGCTCTGAAAAGTAGGTCTAGATAGAAAACAAACAAACAAAAATGCCTTTTCCTAAATCATGCATCCAAAAATCAGAACCAGGGTCAAGCATCAGTGCAGTTATTTCATCATTTGGAAAAAACAAAATTTTCTTCCTGGCATCTGGCAAAACTTTTGTGGGTGTCTTACAGAAACTTGCTGGAAAAGAAGGTGGATTCTGGAGAAGACAGAGATGCTGGCAGAAGCTGTTCCTAGGGTTCAGATGCCAGAGGATCCCAGAGTGAGGCTGACGGCCCCATCCCATGCCTCTTGCCCTTGGATAACAAGCCAGTGCATAAACATGTTTGCTACAGGGACAATCCGTTCCTTAGCTCTCAACGGGTCTGAATGTCCTATTTCAGAAGCCGGAGGGGCTAAGACAGTTGGCAAGGCACCCACTAAGCGAGGTTTCCTTCCCAGGCTTGACAAGGACTCAGAAGGGAGAAGGAGCCCTCGGAGGGCCACAGAGGACTGAGCCTGGGCTGGGCCTTGAGGCGATGTGGGAGATGTGTACTCACTGAGGTATCAGGACCAGACCAGGAGGTCTAGAGAAGGGCTTCCCAGGGGTAGCATTAACCAGGATGCCATCCTCATGTGCACATAGGCAAAAACAAACTTAGGGACATTCCAAAATATACTGACCCTTCAAAGGTGTCAAGGTCATGAAAGCCAGGAGGGCGGAGGAGCCACTCCACATAGAAGAAGAGCAAATGCAGCAGGTGACTCGCACTCTTTAGTTGAAAGCACACTTGGGAATAAAGGAGGCTCCCTGTCCTAGGAGCCCAGCACACGTCCCTGAGAGTCTGCCATTGGCTGCGTCAAGGGGAAGTGTCCCTTGACATTTGACTGGTCTGAGGACAGATAGAAGAGATTCTCGTGTTCATCCCCAAATTCAACGGTGGCATTGGATTAGGGAGGAGAATTCACCTGTTTGTAGAAATCACTCAAAAACGTAATCGGGATGATACAGCATCATATTGTCATTTCCTTCAATGTTTCAGGGAAAGCTCTTTGCAATGTAATTAGGACATTTCTGTAAATTTGAGATTCTTTTAAATAAAATTCATTTTGGCCAGACATGGTTGCTCATGCCTATAATCCCAGCACTTTGAGCCAGAAGGAGCCACGAATTTAAGACCAGCCTGGACAAGTATAGTGATACTCCCATCTCAAAAAATAAAAACTAAAACTTATTTAAAAGCTCAGCAGAATCAGGACACAGCAGTCCCTCAGCACATGGAAATGGGTGAGAGAGAAGGGAGATGCCCCCAGCAGGACGGGGCATTGTCCCAGCACTGGGACACATAATGCAGTGATGGGCGTGTCCTGGTTGCTTCTGAATACGAACCACACAGGATTGCAGCTGGAGGTGTCTTAAACGCAGCCCGGCATCACCTGTAGAGAGAGAAGAAGGCTGAGACACAGGGAGGTTGGGCAGCCTTCCCAGACAGCAGTGCTGGGCCTCCTACTGTCATCGCACTGCTCCATGGGGGCTTCTGCCTTCACCAAAGTCCCCGGGAGCCATCAGAAGGGAGCACTCACACCTGGCAAGTGTCAGGTTGCACTTTCTCAGGCAGATGAAGGCTCATGGCCTGTCTACACCTGCTTGTTGAGCAGATGCAGAGCATGCACTGTTGGTGCCAGGAAGCCAGTGAGAGGCAAGAAGAAAGCCGTCCAATCTGTGCTGGTGAGCAGGGGCTGCTGTGGGTGACTGGGGCTGCATCCCACTGGGGAGCTTGAGAGACAATGGAGCACATGCCTTGGAGGTGGCCCATCTGAGGGCACAGAACCTGGGGATCCTGAGTCCCCTGTTCCTATCTGTCATGTGTAAGGCTGCTCCCAGGTGCATAAATAGCCTGGCATTTTCAGCCAATGCCACCCATGGGCAAATGTGTTCTGTGACCAGAGAAAGCTCAGGCACAGCCAGGGGTCAGTGGTGGAGGCTTTGAGGAGACCTGCTGCACCCAGATGGGGAGTGTGAGCAGGAGAGAGCTGATTCCAGACTCACGCCTGGACTCACTTCTGTCTCCTCTCTGCACTGTTCCTCTGAAGTTGGCCCCATCCTTGGGCTGGCAATAGCTGTTAGCAAAAAAGAAAAAAAGTTACATTGAAGAATATAGTGTATTTACACAATGCAATCCTCTGCAGTAATGAGGATGAACCCACCACCACTGCAACAATATGAATGATGTCACACACATAAAGTTGAGGGAAGAAGCTAGATACACAAGAGCACATACTAGATAATTTTTTATGTAAGTTTCAAAACTAGGCACTAATCGTGCGTAATATGCACTTTGTGAAAATTCCGTACACTTGCAATTTGTTACTTTTCTGTGTGTATGTTATATTGCAGTAAAACATTTATGAAACACTTAAAATAGAGAGGATGTATTCGTCCTATTGTTGCCATAACACATACCACAAATTAGTGCTTAACAGATCAAATTTATTATCTGGAGTCAGGTGTCCAAAATGGTTTTCACTGGGCTAAAATTAAGGTGTCAGCAGGGCTGCATTCTACAGGAAGGTCCATGGCTCTAGGGAAGGTCCATTTCCTTGCTTTTTCAGTGTCTAGAGGCCTCCTCCATTTCTTTCCTTATGGCCCTTTCCTCTGCCCCAAAGCCAGAGGTGACACATTCTCACAGCCTTGTGCTCCATTGCTGCATTCCTTTTATCGCCTTCTAAATTCTACCCATTTCTATAAATCCCTTTGTGGTTCCATTGGCCCCTCGGATTATCTAAGATAATTTCTCTACCTCAAGATCCTTAACTTGATCATGTGTGAAAGACCCATTTGCCAAGGAAGGTGATACACTCACAGGTTCTGAGGGTTAGGGCATGGGCATTCTTGGGGGCCACTATTCATCCTATCATAGAAGGGGATAGAAGTCACATGCTAGTTCAGAGGAAAATACTCCAGAAAGTCCTCTGGCTAAAGCACAACCAAATCCAAGCAGAGATATTCAAAAAAGAGAAACCAAAGAGGAGATCATGTTGAAAAAACACTGTTTTCTGTATATAAAGAAGGAAGGAAGGAAGGGAGGGAGGGAGGGAGGGAGGGAGGGAGGGAGGGAGGGAATTTCTTTTCCCCCAAATTGCATTCCCATGTCACCTGCTGGCCCATTCTTCCCTGAGTCCTTCTGGACTCATATACTGTCCTAAATGCTCCTGTGCTGCCCACTCTGGCCTCTGCCTGCACACCACAGCCAGTTTGGCCATGACTGCGGCTTGCTGTGAAGTCTTCAGTAGTTCGCAGTTGCCTAGCAAGCAAGGAACAAACTCAAGAGACAGCCTGTGCGTATAGCATCGCTTCTGTTTAGACTTCCGTCTGTATTTCTGCCAACAGTGTTTGAAATGTATGTATAGATGTGTGGGTCTGTGTGGAGGTGTGTCTGTGTGTTGCGGTGTGAGTGTGGGTATTGGTGTGTAAGCCGCTGTGGGAAGGCTGGGCAGGCTCCTTGCTGGCCTCCCCTGGGAGGCAGGCAGGGACCTGGCTGACCACTGATGGAAACACTCAAGCAGGTGTTGGCCCTCGGGGACCTCGTATCTGAGCTCTCTACATCCTCCTCACACAGGAGCCATCACTCCACGTCCTTTCCTTGCACCGTTCCAAATAACACCATGCAAGGCTTCTTAGTGACAGCACGTGATAACTGCATCATGCCGACACCTCACTGAGTGTCGCCAGACCTGAGTGCCACCTCCACTTCCTTCTTCCTTCTCCACTTGGATGCCAAGCCTGGGCACTCCCATGGGGTCTTGTCCCAGGAGACAAGAGTGACCGGCCAGAAGGATCTCAGTGCCTCACACCTGCAGATGCAGAGCTTCCATCCCTGCTGCTTCTCCACTTCCTCTGCCTCTAAAACATCTACCAGGCAAGCTGAGACCACTCCGTAATTTGATGACACTCAGGTGTCATCCATGTCACAGGTAAGACTCTCTCATTTCACACTTTTCTTGGGTCCCCTGGCTTCTTTGTCCTTGGGGGGAGGGCAATTGCCCAGAGTGGTCTCCAGGAGCCAGGCAGGGGAGGGGGCATGTAGGGCAGATGGCGCCCCCAGGACCCTGCCCCACCGCTCACCTACACCTGCTCCGTCCTCAGACCTCCCGAGGCCGCTGCTCAGGTGTGCTCAGTGGGCAGAGGCCCTTGGTCCACAGAAGGCCATGTGTCACTGAGGGAGCAGCCTTGAAAATAGAAGACATGGGTGTGTGTGTGTGTGTGTGTGTGTGTGTGTGTGTGTGTGTGTGTGAAAAAGAGAGAAAGAGAGAGAGACAGGAACTTATGTAAAAAGAATGAAAGTGGGAGTGAGCTTGCCAGACATTGCAATGTGTCCTTACTGCTCTCCCCCGAGGCCAGCTGCGGACAAGGAGGGAGGTGGAGGGGGGTGGGGAGCTGTGGGTGTCTAGCACAGGCTGCCCTTAAATCCGCCCAGGACAGGTAGGGTCAGTGTGATCCATCTGGCCCTGTGGGGTAAAGAGGGGGCTGTTCTCGCTCCTCCCCAACTGAGGGACGATGGCCAGGCCCTGGCAGGCCCCACGACCCCTGCTGGCCATTCTGGTGACTCTGGTGGCCTTCACCTACCAAGCAGGGAAGAAAACCTTTATAGATATCCATGAAGTGTCCCCAGAGGATAACCACGTGCCTGGCATCTTGAACTTTACCATCAACAAGTATAACCAGGAAAGTGACGACGCGTACAATTTCAGGGTCTTCCGAATCCTGAAGATCCAGAAGCAGGTCAGTGTGACTTCCTCCCTCTCCCGACACCATATGCCTATGCCATGGGACCACTGCTGCACAGGGGAAAGTCCCACTCCAGTGACATTCAGCCTCATTTATTTCAAAGTGGGCATTTTAAGTGAAACAAATTCACTAGAGTGAATAAAGGTAAGTCACTTAAATGAAACCCAAGACCAGTGGTCATCAGCAAATTATATCCCAAGGGCCAAATCACTATTGTAAATAGTGTCATTGTAACCCAGCCCTACCAGGTGCATGTATTAATGTATTGTCTGTGGCTGCTTTCATGCTACAATGGCTGAGCTGAGTAAAACCAAAAAATGTTTACTGTCTAGCCCTTCTCAGAAAATGTTTACAGGCCAGGTGCGTTGGCTCACACCTATAATCCTAGCACTCTGGGAGGCCGAGGCTGGCAGGGCAGATCGTTTGAGCTCAGGAGTTCAAGACCAGCCTGAGCAAGAACGAAACCCTGTCTTTACCAAAAATAGAAAAACTTAGCTGGGCATGGTGGTGCATGCCTGTAGTTCCAGCTACACGGGAGGCTGAGGCAGAAGGATCGCTTGAGCCCAGGAGTTTGAGGTTGCTGTGAGCTAGGCTGACACCACGGCACTCTAACCCTGGCAACAGAGTGAGACTCTGTCTCAAAACAGAAAAAAAAAAAGTTTACAGACCCCTGCTTGGAACCATCAGTATCACTTGTGTTGTTCAAGGGGTGGCTTTGCCCACAGAAAGATTGTATGTTTCTGGTGGCTTCTGGTGAATTCTCTCTGAACGAGAGAATGAACCATAAAGTCTGATAAGAGGGGAGAAAGGAGCCCACCAGTGGGCCCAGGACTAGGAGTCCCACACACAGAAGCTGCAGGGCAGGGAGAAAAGGCCAGGCTAGATCTTGCCACTTGCTGCCCACAGATAACTGACCATATGGAGTACCACTTGAACATGGAGATTCGGCGGACCACCTGCCGAAAGCTAGAGACGACCAACTGTAAACTCCAGCAAGGGCAGCTTTACAAGGTACTGGGTAAAAGCACTTTATCTTACATAATTTACTTTTCAATGAGATTTTCTGTGATTTTAGGATGAGACAGGGTCGAATTATTTGGGATGTGTCCAAACTTGCCTGAAAAGAATGCACGAATAATACCTCCTTCACCAGGGAGGAACAGTGAAGGCGGAAGGGGCCAGGGCTCTGCTTCTTTATTGCTGGAAGGGTTACGAGAAGGCTGAAGAGGTCCAGGGGAAGAGGAGAGGTAGCCAGGTTGCAGGGAGACACTCAGGCCAGGGAGGCAGCAAATTACTGACACTATTTTAGCAGCTCACGAGACCTGGCTAGTGCACGCGCTGAATATTTGAGCGTCAGCATAACAAGGGCGCGCAGCCTCTGGGCTCCTGCCCTTCCTCCCTTCCATCCAGCAGTGTTTGGCCAGGAGAAGGAGGAGATGAGAAAACAAGTTCAGAGATGATCGGGCTGGTGGTGAGGGTGGCTTGAGGGGGACAAACCTGCATGTGTGTAATCTGCTGAGGGGCCCCCTCCCCCAAAGGCAACTCAGGCCCCTCACACCGTGTCCTGGCCCAGAGCTGGCCCCTTGGAGGGAGGCTGGGCAGGTCCCAGCCCACACCAGCAAACAGAACATGCACAGTCAGGGTGGGGCGGCATCCATAGGAGCCTTGGAAGTCACAAGTCCTACAAGCCCTGCAAATCTCATGACTTTCCTCAAATGAATTACAGCAATTAATACCATGACTAAATGTCCCACCTTGAAAGAATAGTTCTGATTTATGCCTAACTAAGAATACACTAAGAAGGATAATATTAACGACATCCCTGTTGCTTATAACATGTCCTGGTTTGGTTCATAAATTATATGGTCACGTAGTTACAACTGCCTGGGTGTTTTCAGCATAGAAATGTGCCATCCATAGGCTTCCTCTTCACTTTCTACATGGATAATTCTTCAAAATATAGCAAGGTAGATTTCTTTGGTTTTTCCCCGAAGAAAATCATGAAATGTACAAAAATAATAATTGAAGATAATAGTAAAATAAAATTAAAGGAATTTGTAACTTGAGAGATTGAATTGGTGGACTTGGTGTCCTGAATCCTATTTTAAGAGAAGTGTAAATACTTGAGCCTTCCGCCTACCACCCCAAGCTTTCCAGTGAAGACCAGGAAAACAAAATCACATGAAGAAATGATAATCAATAATACACAAAATATGTTTACAGTATGGATTTTTCATTATGGGAGAAGAGGGAAGTAAAACACAGGTAAATTTGGGAGGGAATAAAGAGAAAGAAAGGAGAGATACTACAATAGACAGATTGATAGACACATGAAGGAAGGAGGGTAGGAAGCAAGGATGAATGGATGGAAGGTGGATGAATGGAGATGGATGGGTAGATATGTGGATGAATGGATAGATGGATGGGCAGATGGATAGATGGAATAGATGGCTGGAAGGATAGATAGATGAATGAATTAACAGATGGGGGGACAGATGGATACATGAATGGAAGGATAAATGGTTGGTTGGAAGGATGAATGGATGGATGGATAGATAAATGAAGCCAACAGAGGTACTGAAAGGCTTGAAGTTAAAAACAAACCCCAAAAAACCCCATATGAGTAAAAATGAAGAGGGAAAGAAAAGAAACAGTAGTTCTCATGGTGAATATGGGCTGGGCAGCCATTTTATTACTACTTTCCAAATCAGATCACAAATAGAAGGACATTTTTGAAAAAAGATCCTAGCAGTATTGCCATCAAGTGGCTGAAATCAAAATAAATATCGAACCAGATCTGGATTGGAGGGTGGTGAGATGGTGACCTTTTCCTCATCCTCATATCTCATATCCTCATTTTTCCCCTTTTAAATTTTACCTTGCATATTTTTAAATGATGTTCTTTTGTTTGTTTATTTTAGAAATTCACGTGCAACTTCACAGTGTTTACTGTACCCTGGTTTGACGAGTATGAAATTCTGAAAAAAAACTGCAGCAGTAAGTAGCTACATGTCCACAAGCACACACCTGTGCTCGCTGCAGCTGAGAGTATCCTGTGATGAGCAATAATCCTCACACAGACAATAAATGTTTGTCAACCTGTTCTCTTAAGATCATGATTCCACCCTTTTTTATTTCTATTTTTCCAAACTTTTCAGCTCATAGCAATATAATCTGAAGGGCTTCTGGGCCAGGGCAGCTTTGGAGTCCAAATGAGGTGACCTGAATAATTCCCTGCCTTATAGCCTACGTCTGCATGAAAGCAGAACTTCAATCCACCCTCACATCCGGTAGGATTCTTTAGCTTTTTAAATGGGGAAGATGGGGCGAAGGAGAATAAGGAGGAGGGAAGATGTTCAAAGGAACTGAGCAGCCAAGAGATATTTGCAAGAATGGCCTATGATGGCATCCCTCAGGAGCCACTGGAGGGCAACCCCCTCCTTGCCTAAAGTGTGAAATGAGGAGAAATAATACAAAGAATTAAGATGAGGCCCTTGTTATGATAAGAACTAAGTTGAGAGATATGCCTTATTTTTGTAGGCAAGTGCACTTTCTAATTCCAAATTCCAGAATTAGACTTCCCCCACCTTGCACCAGCAACATTGGACCAGAACAGGTCTGTCCATGACCACGCCTCTCCTGGAGGGGCAAAGGAAAATATGTGCCCCTGTGGGAAGGAGGAGGACATGGACAACAATGCCCTCTTTATTCTTCCCAGACAGACCAATCAGATTAATTCCACCAGGAGAGGAACGATTGGGGACGGGAGAAGCCTGGAGTGCTGTAAAGGGGGCTCTCTGCCCATGGATGGCACCAACCACTTGATGGAGGATTTCAGACAATGTCACCAGGCTCATCCTAATCCACCTTGTCCACATGGTGGTGTCAGGAAGGCTGCCAGCAACTCACTGGGTCACGTCGGCCCTCACTCGCATTCACTGAGTGAGGAGGAAGAGCTCAGGCAAAAGCCCTAGGGTTTAGTAACACTGACACTCTGGGGACACCATAGAAAATACACACACACACACACACACACACACACACACACAAAGCATTTGTCTACTTGAGGGGAGAGGGAGTTGGAGCATTTATCCAAAAGTTCTAGTCAGTAGTGGCCGGGAGTGGCTCCTAGAGGAAATTAATTCCCTAGTACTGCTGGCCCAGGGTGGCTCCAGAGCAGAGCAGGCAGCAGAGAGGCCACAGAGAAAGGGGCACAGGTGCTGGCATTTGGAAGTGGAGCTAGTGTGCACAGAAAGGGTAAGACCTGAAGAATGGAGTCAGAGCTCCAACCTGATACCCTTGCACATGTGAATTGTGAACTGAGATACACAGTAGCCATGCCAAGTCTCCACCAGCTGTAAATAGCTGGGAGCTTTGAAAGAACAAAATGCTTTGGCTTTTACATTCCCTACCACAGTCCTGGAATGCTCAGGACCCTGTCTCAGGCAGGGTCCAGGTGGGACTCCCCTCCACCAAATGTCTAGGATAACAGGAACCTGCAATTTCCTCATCTTTCACTGAGAATAACAGTACCTACTTCTTGGAGCAGTTCTAAAGATTAATGATGATAATGCATAAAAATTGCTTACTCAGAGTCTAACACAAACCAGGTATTCAAATAAATATTAACTATTAGTAGGAATACTGGCAGTAGCCATGGAAATTTAATATCAACATTCAATATTCTTCTGGCCTCTTGGCTATTATGGCCCCAAGGATAGGATTACTATCCTCAGGGAGAAAGAAGAGAGAAGGTGGGGAACATTTGTGCCCATTAATCTCTGGGCTTCTCAGACAATATTTTCTTGTTTTGTACTTTTTTAGTAAGTTATATAGTCACAGGAAGTTACAAAGGCAGAACAGAGAAGTCCCCTGTATCCTTCATCCAGCTCCCCCTAATGCTCACATCTTATGTCATTATAGAAAAATATCAGAGCCAGGAAATTAACATTTGTACAGTGTGCATGCATGCCATTTAGCCACGTGTGTACATTCATGTAACTCCCATCACATTGAAGACACGGAGCTAGTCCATCACGGAGGTCTCCGTTGTGCTGCTCTGTATACTCAGTCAGTGCCCAATTGATGCCCCACTCCTGTCACAGGTGCGTGCTTATGCCGACCCTTCCTGTGCACCAATTATAAAAAGTAAGGTGGGTGGGTGGGGTGGGGAGAGTTCACTTTTAAAACTTCAAAGCTATGCCGTAAAGTTTGGTAAAACATTATAAAAAGAAGACTGTGTCAAAGTGAAATTGCATAAAGATAGAAATTGAGCAAGTAGGTTATATAAATAAATCATATAAAAAGTAAGAACTTTAAAAGCAGCTTATTTTGGAAGGATAAAAAAAAAAAAAAAAAGTAAGAACTTAGAGGCGGAATACGATTTCAATCAGTAAGTAATATTAGAAAGGCAAAATAAGTAAAACACAAAACATATTAAAAGATCTTGAGCAAAAATAGCTAAAGGCTGAACATATGCACATACTATTACCAAACAATTTCGAGTAGGCGTGTACCCCAAAGAAACACGTGTATATGTCCACCCACGTCCATGTCCGTTACACACGTACCAGAATGCTTATCGTTAATAGCTATTATTCTCAGAAGCTGAAAACTACCCCAAAGTACATTATCAGCACAATGGATAAATAAACTATGGTATATTTATTTACACAATGGAATTCCACACAAAACTAAAAGTGAACTGGAAGCACAAACATCAGCACCAATATATTGAATGAAAGAAATCAGGAACGAAAGAATATATATTGCATGACTCCTTTTCCAAAAATTCAACCCATATGCCAAACTAAGCTGGGATGTTAGAATCTGGACAGAGGTTACCTTTAGAGGCTCCTTGCCCAAAAGTTGCTTTGTCATAGGGTTGTCGGGATGACAAAGGAGACGATGAGGGTAGCAGGCCAGTGTTAGGTGCCTGGCCAGCCCTAATACCATTAGATTTGCAGAACTGGATGTTTTCTGGCTTTCCCCCTACCCCTCAGGAAAGTCACAGACTTTAACTCTTTTCCTCCCTGCTCTCTCCTCTCTCGGGCCCTTCTGGCAGGCTTTTGCTTGTGAGTTCATGCTCCTCCTCTAGTGACAGCCTCTCAGGTTGCCAGGATGACTGTGCTGCTGCACTCATGCCTGCGAAGAGGCCAAACGGCTGAGGGTACGCTTGGTACACCCTCCGCCCACGTCCATGCCCCATTTCTGGTCTAGTGTGCACCTTCTCTACTCGACTACGGGTCACAGGAAGGGAGAAAGCAAAGGTCTCATTTCAGCAGCAATGAAAACACGGGAGGCTCAGCGCCTCCGTGTGCAGAAAAGAGTTCACAAGGCAGCCTGAACTGCTGTCCTTAGAAAGGTGAATGGCAATGACAGCCGTGGCTGGAGTCTGGGGACTTGGATGGCAGGCAGTTCCTTACACTGACAGAAAACTTGCCCTGCATGAGAGGAGGAACTTAGTGTGTCTGCACTGTCTGTCCCAGCGATGGGGCTGGTGCTGAACACCCGCCCACACTGGGAGTCTGGAATTTGGGCAGGTGCCAGGCAGAGACTGCCTACGTGAGCAGCCCCCAACAAAGACCCTGGGCTCTGAGTCTTAACGAGCTTTCCTGGTAGAAGACATTTCGCACATGTTGTCACAGCTCGCTGCTGGGGGAATTAGCGTGTCCTGCGTGATGGCACTGGGAACAGACTCCAGAAGCTCCGCCTGGTCTTCCCTGGATTTCACCCGGGCATCTTTTCCCTTTGCTGAGTTTGCTTTATATCTTTCCACTGTAATAAATCGCAGCCGTGACGTACCCTGAGTCCTGTGAGTCCTCCTGGCGGGTCACCCAACCTGGGTTTGGTCCTTGGAACTTTAGACACACTCACAAAGACATGTGTGAGCCACAGTGTTGTGCGTGTCAGAGGAAGAAATGGGGCTGCTGCACACCTGGGCCAGGGGTCAGGGATGTGCCTGGATCCAGAATAGCCGTAGAGAGGTGGGCCGAGGTAAAAAGAATGACGAAGTTTCCCCAAAGATTATCAACATTCTGTTCAAATAGCGAGAGCCCTTAAAGACCACTGAATGTGTATGCGAGTGAGCGTGTGAGACGTGAGTATGCATGGGTAGATGGGTGAGTGTGAGAAGGTGTGAAAGTGTGTGTGCACATGCGTGGTGAGAGTGTGAGTGTTGCTGTGGGTGTGTGTTGAGGTGTGTGTGTGCGTGTGTGTGTGTGTGTGTGTGTGTGTGTGTGTGTGTGTGTGTGTATCAAGACACCAACAAGGAAGACAAGGTTCTTTACAATTTTATAACAGCCAGTGCACAGGGCGGCCATCTGAGGCCCTGTCGAAGGTCTTTGCAGGAGCCCTCAGTAATCCTGGCAAGAGTTGTTCCAGAGCTGGTAATAGTTTATCCAGGGCACAGTGTATATCAAAGACTCGCAAATCAAACTCTGGAAATGGAAGAAGAAAGAAATCAGACAATCAGCTTTGGGGGAAAGATTTTTTTAAAAGTTCCTGCTCCTCGGGCCTGGTTTGGGAATCTGGAGCTGTCACTGTGGCTGCTCACTGACCATGTGGGCACAGGAGGAGCTGCCCACAGACACACATGGGGGCAGGAGGGCGGGCCAGCCAGAATAGGAACGTCACTCTGGGTTCATCCTACCCAGCAAGTGCACCCAGAGCCTGTGGGACCCACGCAGGTGCACCCAGAGCCCACAACCTAGCTGGACCCTGGGATGAAGGGCAGGCAGGACACTGAGTTCCAACAGCATTGTCCCCTGCCCCCCACACCTACACCCAGCATAGGGAGAGATCTTGGTATGTGCCAGCTTGCAGAGGGTGCTAACAAGGGACCAGGAAGGCCGGGCACAATGGCTCATGCCTTTAATCCTAGCACTCTGGGAGGGCAAGGCAGGAGGATTGCTTGAGCTCAGGAGTTCAAGACCAGACTGACCAAGAGTGAGACCTGTCTCTACTGAAAATAGAAAAAATTAGTCAGGCATGGTGGCATGCACCTATAGTCCTAGCCACTGGAGAGGCTGAGGTAGGAGGATCACTTGAGACCAGGAGTGAGGTTGCAGTGAGCTATGATGATGCCACTGTACTCTAGCCCAGGTGACAGAGTGAGACCCTGTCTCAAAAAAAAAAGGACTAGGAAAAACAGAAAAGTACAAGAAAAAGTTGGACAATCCTCAAAGGCCTGTAGAGTGACAACCAAGACCAGATCAAGGACCCCAAGGAGAAGGAAACATCACTTTCACCCTGAAGGCCAGGGCTGGGTGGGAGAGGAGTCCAGGAGAGGGAGGCCTGGGTCCAGGGCTGTGCCGGCATGGGCTGGTGAGACTGTCCAAGTAAAAAGCCTTCCTTCCTCCTCCAGGTGCCTGGGAGGTGTCAGGCAGCTCCGGGGCTGGGCCCTAGCTGGCCCCCAGCCATATAGCTGGAAGAGCTGCCAATGTCCAGGTGGTGCTTTTCAAAGTGTTCCCTTTTCCCTGTTTGGTCAGAAGCCCCATTTGGATGCCCCCACCACACACCTTTCTCAGCTTCTTGCTCTGCAGGGGGCAGGAAGGATCCTTCGTGACATTCTTCTTGCATGTCGTCCGGGCAATCTTCACAGTGACCATATACTCCACTCCTGTGGTCAGCTGCCGAGAAGCGATTGCACTGTTAGCCTGGCTCCGAGCGTCCAGTGGCTGGTGCTCTCTTGGAGAAGCTAGGACTGAGAGCAAAGCCCCCAGAGCCACAGTCCTTGTCCCCTTGTCCACCAAAAACATAGCTCCCTTCTCCCCTCCCAGCTGCAGGGGACACAATGGCAGCCAAGGCCACTGCACCCGACCCCCACGCCTGTGCTCTGGACTGTGCCGTGGCAGCCACAGGTCAGCCATCTCCTTTCCACCCTCGGGACGAGGGAGGGAACATCAACCTGAGTTGCCACTGCCAGGCCTCATGAGGCAGACAGCCAGCATCTCAGCCCTGCCCTCCCAGCCCCTCAGCCTCCCCGCCCTCCTCCCCCACTAACCTGAAGGAATGCGGTTCAGCAACAGCTAAAAGCATGGGTTTGGGACTCAAATTGATTTAGGGCACTCATTTCCCATTTACTGACTGCTATAGCCATGAGCAAGTTACTTAGCAGACTCCGTTTCTTCAGTCACATAATTATTTTAATAATTACAAATTATTAAATGTCTTAGCAAAGTATCAGAAACATTACTCCGAAGCAGCGAGGGAGCTAGGTGGGTGACAGAACAGAAACCGGAAGAATTGTGCTGGAAATCTGGCTTTATCCCCTGCAGACTCTGTCACCTTGGACAAGTCCCTCCACCTCCCTCAGTCTCAGTTTCCTCATCTAGAAAATGGGAAGAATAATGCCAATTTCCTCCTGGGGTGTGTGAGAATGAAGGAAGGAGTCGTGGTGGGTATGTAAGCCACAGAGAATACAGGCCAGGGCCTTGCCTGTGGGTGTGATTTTCTTCCTTCGCTCGTGACCAAGTATGGGACCGTGAACACTGGAGAGGTTGAAGACTGGGCTGTCCCGCCCCCAGCAGCAATGAAGCTCAGGAACTGAGCTGGACTCCCCCAGGTAAATGTGTGGACTAGAGAATCCCGCCCTGGTGAAGCGACAAGCTCCTAGAAGGCCCTGCTGTTTTGCCCAAATGTCAGCAGTTGAACCAAATGAGATGGCTTGGTCCTCTCTGTGGTGGTGACAGAAGCAGAGAGTGCCCACTCTGCTCTTGGGAAGACTACACCCTTAGAAAACTTCAGGGCAGGCCAGGCATGGTGGCTCACACCCGTAATCCTAGCACTCTGGGAGGCTGAGGCAGGAGGATCGTTTGAACTCAGGAGTTCAAGACCAGCCTGAGCAAGAGCAAGAGCTGTCTCTACTAAAAATAGAAAAATTAGTACACTCTGAAGTCCCAGCTACTTGGGAGGCTGAGTCAGGGGATGGCTTGAGCCCAGGAGTTTGAGGTTGCTGTAAGCTATGATGATGCCAACCGGCCCCAACTTCATACCTGGGCCAACCAAGTGAGAGAAAGAAAGAAAAAAAGGAAAAGAAGAAAGAAAGAAAGAAGAAAGAGAAAGAAGAAGAGAGAAGAAGAGAAAGAGAGAAAAGAGAGAAGAAGAGAAAGAGAGAGAGAGAGAGGAGAGGGAGGAGGAGGAGGGAGGGAGGAAGGGAGGAGGAAGGAAGGAAGGAAGGAAGGAAGGAAGGAAGGAAGGAAGGAAGGAAGGAAGGAAGGAAGGAAGAGGGAAGGAGGGAAGGGAGAGGGAAGGGAAAGGGGAGGGGGAGGGGAGAAGGGCAGGGAAGGGAAAGGAAAGGAAGAAGAAAGGAAAAGGAAAAGGAAAAGGAAAAGGAAAAGGAAAGGAAACGAAACTTCAGGGCAGAGCAGCAGGGAAACTAGGCCTGACGGCAACACTGGGATCCTGGCCCGCACCACTTGCAAGGCTGTGCCAAGCAGTCACACTGACACTGACCTTCAGCACACTCTGTATGTATGAAAAAACTAACACACTGGTCATAAAGTTAAACTAACATCTCAGTGTGCAGAGTACTTTCTTATTCATTATTAGACTTGATTGTTAAATAATAATAGGAATAGTCATAATAACAGCAAATATCTTTACAAATGCTACTAGATGTCAGCACTGTGCTAAGTACTTCCCTCTGATTCAGATTCACTTTGCAGGGGAGGAAACTGAGGCGTGGAGAGTCTAGATGTCACTTGACCAAGAGCCCAGGCATAGGCAGCCCACCAGTCCTGCCCCTGCACCCCTCTGTGAGGTATGTGGACAGACACAATTATGTCTGGGTGTGGGGTTGCCCAGAGACCCATGCCAAGATCACCAAAGGGCAGGCTCATTCTGTCCACTTATCAACTTGAATGATATCAAAGGTTTGCTCATAAACTATTCTTTAACCGCTAACTGTTAATGATAATGAGTTGATTTTGCAAGACAATCCTCCTTGGAGTCTCAGATTCATCCTTGGGAAACTGACCAAAGACAAGCCAAAATGAGCAACACTGCCACCTTGCATAAAATTGCCTAACTGAGCCTGGACCCACTGGACACCTCGGCCGTCATGAGGCCAGCCTCTGTGTCACACTGACACTGCCCACCCCACCCCCATGTGCCCTCCCGCTTTGCTGGTTTTCCTGTTACAGCTGTCCTTCTCTCTGGTCAGAGACCTCATCCCCTCGCCAGTTGTTTTTCCCAAAATCTGGCTTAACATATACAGTCAGCCTGCTGTATCCCTAGGTTCCACATCTCAAATCCAACCAACCATGGATCAAAAATATTCAGGAAAAAAAATGGATGGTTATGTCTGCACCAAACATGTACATTTTGTTCTTGTCGTTATTCCCTGTGAACGACTATTCACATAGTATTTACATGGTACCAAGTATAATAAGTAATCAAGAGACGATTCAGAGTATACAGAAGGATGTACATAGATTATAAAATGCACACCATTTTGTACAAAGGACTTGAGCATCTGCAGATTTGGTATCAGGGTGGGGGTGTCCTGGAACCAGTCCCCCACAGATATGGGAAAATGACTGTATAATTTACTATCTGACCCTGAGGGAAGGAGGTTGGATCAATAAAAGTGGCTCTCAAATTTTCTTTCCTCTGTCATCCTTAAATTGATATATTTCAGAGAAATTTTACATGTAAAACAAAAGGGGAGGTGATCTGGTTGAAGTATATCCCTCATTCCCCAAAAGTCCATCTCCCCCCATAAAAAAATAAACATTCTGCATAATTACGAGTTTTTGCAGAACACAGAAAATCCAGCATCCTCATGTGCTGTCACTCACCCAATGTCAGAATGGAAGGCAGTTCTTCCCAGGCAAGAACAATTGAGAACCTCAGTGGATAGTTTTGCCTCTGACTAAGAATGATGGAGTTAGGGTGCCCTCCAGCATTTTGGAAGCACAATAAAGAAATTCTGGGACCTGAACAACTCTGAAATGTGCCCGTTCCAAGTGAAGCTTCTCCCCACTTGCGGTCGCCATGGATTGGTTCTCTTGGGAACCATAAGGGAAGCCCCGTGTGTCTGAGTGGGCAAGAATGGGGGATTCTGCCGGCGCCTGGAGGAAGAAAGTTACAAACCTGGACCTGACTTCGAAGTAGTTCCTGGACTCGAAATAAGTAGGTGTCATTGCTGGCATTGTTGTAGGATTGAATGAAGAAGTTGAGTGTCGGATCCATGTTTTTCTTGCTCATGGGCATCTCCCGGAAGCCCTCCCACCTTTCGAAGTGACCCAACTTGGCCGCCAGCACCAGGGCAACCAGCAGCACCAGGAGGTTCCTCCAGCTTCTGATCCCCATTTCTGCAGCCTCAGAAGCCACCTGTCCAGCTGCAAGTGGTGCCAGACAGCAGCTCGCTCCCTTGTCCACGGCAACCCTTGTCAACGCAGGCTTTCCTGGGAGACGGCTTGCCTGCATTTAGACAGAGACTGAGACCCCAACCTAGTCCCTGGAGACCCTGACTGAAGACCAGCCAGGGAAATATCCCTGCGGGGCCGCCCAGCCCACTCTTTAGTTAGTTCGTTTTCCACCCACTTATGACATCCATTCGGTTCTTTGGTGTTCTGGGCAAGCGGAACTTCTAAACCCCTACCAAGGTGTGCTAGACCCTCTTCCCGCTCTTGCACCTAGCAGGGAAGGAATCCCTGAGAACAGACCCATGCAGTGCTCTGCAAGAAGTGCTGGAGTCATGGGCAGAGGGGCTCCCTTTATGGGAAGAAGGAGAAAGTAACATTTGAACTGAAATATAAGGACTCTGTAATGGGGAACAAGGGGAAGTACATTCTACTTACCTACCCTGGGATCCAACTGTCTTACCAAGCCATCAGGTGTTCCCTATGTTTCCTCTAGAGACAGGTTCTCCTTGTTCACGTGCTACTTACTCACCACTGATCCTGCCTGCTGGATCCCACTGTACCTGCAGGCCCTGAGATAGCTTTTGCTATCTTGTCACCCCAGTGGAGCTTTGTGATGTAATCCCAGCCTCCCTGTGGGGGAGGAAGAGCTGTGGGCCTTATAGGGAAATTAACCCTGCAGACCCCTGAAGGTTAGGCGTCATTTGCACACAGAAGCCCATAAGAGTACGCTATTTTTAAAACATTTGTTAAGGTGAGATCCTAAATGGGATCCTACCACAAAAAGAACATTAATTAGAAAGTTGATGAAATGTAAACAAAATCCATAGATTAGTTAACAGCATTGTACAGATGTTAACTTCCTAAGCTTTCACCATTGTATTGGGACGTTAACATTTGGGAAAGTGGGATCAAGGGCATATGAGAATATTTTTTGCTGTTTTTGCAATCTTTTTGTAAGTCTGAAATTACTTCAAAATAAAGGTTTTAAAATGTCTAAAACCAAATATATAAAACACTGGTCTGTGAGAAGTGTCATGCTGTGGTAGGGGAAGTGCAAGCCTTACTTAGAAACCAACTGTCCTGGGTTCAAGTCCTTTGCTTGGGATGCTGGGAGAGTTAATTAATCTCCCTAAGTCTCCATTTCTTCATCTATAATATGAGAATGGAGAAAAATACTCATCATGAATTGTGGTAGAGACTAAATAGACGCAGGCAAAGAACCTGCTCCCTAGTCAGGCATCAGTGGGTGCTCACGAGCATCTTCCTGATTCTTCCATGACTCTGACCCCACATTTTTTGTTGAGTCCATGGTCTGTTGGTCCCCTCCTGCCCCAGAACTCAGGCCATGCTCCATCCTGACAACCCTGCTAGGACCCAACACAACATCCTTCCCTGACCTCAGAACCTGCCTTGTTGGGACTTGTCCAGCCAGAGGAGGTGGCACCTGTAGAATTCCCTGAGTCTAAGATGCAAAGTGTCCCTGTAGAATAGATAAATAAGCATTCTGAGTAATACGTGAGATTTCTCAGACCTGGACAATCTCAGCCTGCCCTGGAAATCTGGCATAGAGTCATCAGACCAAGGACCTTAGAGAAGAAAAGTAGTGTTTGGTGGGTCATATTAGAAAACCATGAACATGGGACAAAAAAGCATTTTTAAAAATCCGCTTAAGAAATATGGAAGTTGGTTACGTCCATGAAAAGGAAAGTGTCACTGGTAATGTTCAGGGAAGAGAAGGAAAACACAGACCTGGGTACCCCCACAGAAGGAGATAAGAAGGGGCATGCCAGGCCCCCCTGGCAGGAGAGTACCCATCTCCACCTTGGGTGGGCAACAGTGGAGGCAGAGATGGAGTTTGCTGCCACGAGCCAAAGAACACTGTTAGCCTTCCTATCTCCTTACATGGATATAGAATAAGTAGGAAACAAGATTCCAGTAAGGTCCACAGTAAAAAGGGAAAACAAGGGACTTGGTGAAAACCGTGGAATAAAGAAATTGCTGGCCTGGTTATGGCCATGGAATAAGGGGAAATAGGCAGCAATTTAATGTCCATAAAATAGGGGGAGGATAAAGGGCCCTGTCGTGTCTGCGAAATATGAGGAATATTGGACATGTCCATGTAATATGGTGAAAATAAGAGGCCTGGCTACAAATTAGCAGGAAAATATTGAGCCTTGGTGAAACCCATGCAAAGGAGAAAATATTAAGCCTGATTATTTTCATGCAATGAGGAGAAAATAGGGTGCCTGGTCATGTCTACAGGACAAGAAGAAAATAGAGGATCTGTTTATTTTCATGTAACAATAGGAAAACAGGGTTCCTGATTATGGCCATGAAGTAAGAGAAGCCTGCTGGCCTGATTATGGCCATGAGAGGAAATGAGGAGACTGGCCATGCTCATGGAATAAAAAGAACCGAGGGGTCTTAATGGCCATGAGACAAAAAGCAGTTGAGGGGCTTGGCTATGTCCATGGAAAGGGGGGAAATAGGTCCTGTTCATGTCATAAAAATAGGGGAAAATAAATGCCTCTTCGTGTCCACAGAATATGGGGAAAGTGAGGCTTGGGTGTGAATGTGGGGTAAGGGGCCCTAGTCCGGAGAAGGAGAAGGAAGGGGCCCCTGGCTGTATCCACATGACAAGGTGACTGCAGGGACACTGATCATGCCCAGGAGTCATGAGAAGAACCCTAGTTATGTACATGAAAGAGGGAGAATGAGGGACCCAACTGTGTACACACAGGAAGAGGAAAATATTAAGACTGATAATGTCCATGGAATAGGAAAAAGTATGAGGTCTGATTGTTTCCACGTAATAACGGGAAACAGAAGCCCTAGAGGTCTAGACAGAAGAAGAAAACTGGAGCTCTGACAAAAAATGGAATATTTGGAACAAAATTGAATAATGGAATAAAAAAAAAAAAAAAAGAATGCTCTGGTCCTGCCTAGTACTAAGGAGAAACATGGTACTCTGGTCATGTCCATGGACTAAGGGGGAAAATGGGAGTCTGGGTAAGTGCATGGAATGAAGAAGAAATTGGGGCCATTTAATAGGGGGGAAACAGGGAGCTGGCCATGTCCATGGACTAGGGCAAAGCAGGGTCTCTGGACAGTTTCACAGAAAGGGGAAAATAGGGAACCTGGTTATGTCCGTGAAATAACAGCAATACAGGCCCTGGATAAATCCATGGCCCTGGTTATGTCTACAGAGCAAGGGGAAACAGGGGACCTATTTGTTGCCTGGTTATTGCCAAGGGATGAGAGGAAAGTAGGTGTAATGGTCCAAAGCGTGAGAAAAGACCACCTTAGAAACCAAATTGAGTCAAATTGTGAGTCTTTATTTACTGGCCAGGACTACTCCTGTCCTGCAGAGCGGCAGGCACAGAAAAGTAGTGATGAGCTAGAAAAAGCGGCCCCTTTTAAAGACAAAAACCACACCTTAAAAAAATTATCTAAATGTTCAAGCACAGTCACAGGCGGCTTCCGTGACTAGAGAGGCACATGAGCGAGGGCATTGTTTTCTGCATTTTATCATGCTGTCTCCAGACGGCCGGAGCCCCGGGCCGGCCTTGAGCCCCTGCACCGAGAACTCTCTCAACGCAAGCCTTTTACAGAAGCAGATAGCTGTCAGCTAGTCTGGGGTACAGTAAAATGTTACAACATCGGCTGGCAGAACATGCATTCAGTTACAAGTGGATTTCTTTGCTTTCTTCTACAACCAGACCCTTATTTTAGCTGTCCTCAACAGTAGGGGCCTGAGTATTCCGATGGAATAAGGTTAAAATTAGGATTGCTGGGTATGTTCCCAGGAAACATGACAAATAGGAGCCCTGTTTTCGTCGATGAAAGAAGGGGAAAATACGAGCCCCAGTTACATCTTCGAATAATAGGAAATATGAGGTTTGTGTATGTCCATGGAATACAGAGGAGCGGGAAGGACAGAAAAGGGGCATGAGAAAGCTTTAGGTGATGGATAGTTCATCGTGTAGACTGTAGTGACGATTCCATGGGTGCATGCATATGTCAAAACTCATCTAATTGTGCATTTTAAATATGTGCAACTTATTGTACGTCAATGTACTTCAATAAAGAAGTCTGGATCGATGGATTAAGGGATGGAAGGGAGAATGGGTGGATGGGTTAGTGGATGAACTAAATACAGTGCTTTCTATGGAATAGATACTCCTCCTGAGGTGTCCTGTCCCCACTGTGCCCCTTTTCATGGCTGGTGCCCGGGGCGCTGAAGAAGAAAGAGCTGCCCTTGGTCAAAGCCCCACGGGTGCAAGACTGAGAGCAATGAGGCCTGTGCCAAAGCCCCTCCCACCTGCATGTGCCCTGGCCCCCTTATCATCTGCTGCCACCCAGAGGAAGGCAGACAGCCTCTTTGGGAGTTGTTTCATAAGAAAGAGGAAGTATCTTTCCTAAGAGACTTGCAAACCTGGCCTCCTGTCTCCTGAGCTGCCCCTGGGAACAGGCCACTGCTGGACCAGTCACCCTGGGGCTGGGTGCTGTGTGGGTGACACGGTGCGGGCCCTGGGGACCCTCCATGAGCTACAGAACTTCCTGGTTTTGACTGTCGGCAACTAGACTTGGGATTTGTCAGTCCAGCCCCCAGAAGAAAATAAGCAGGAAACAAGCAAGGGGATGGTGTGTGTTGTCACTGCAGGCAGCAAGGCCCTGCTTGTGTGGCCTGAGGAACCCGCAGACAAGGGAGTTTCCTGGCCGTAACTTTTGCTCACTCACTGTCTGGTAAACATGGCATCGGCGCTGGGAGAAGGGTCACAGTGGGACACTGTCTTCATGAACGTACATCTGGTATCTAGAATCTGCTCCTCACTCTGGAGGAACAAATATGCCCTTATAAACAACACAGCTGATCTCAGTTGCTTTCTTCTCTCCATTCCTTTTTTTTTTTTAATGTAGCATTATTTGATAAGCTCCTTTTTGTTCCCTAAATAATTCAGTTCTAGGCTGGCTGCTGACCTGGATATAACCCAGTCAGGAAGCAAATCTATCTGAGACCCCCCCTCCCCAACTGCTGCCGGCACCCCTCAGAGATGGCCCAAGCAGGAGCAGTTGGCAGTCTGTGTCCCTGCTCGAGACCGCTTCGAGGCACAGCTGCAGGAAGCAGCGCCCACTCGCCCCGGGCATCGGCAGAAGGACAGGGCTGACCTTGGCTGGAAATGCCCTCTGGTCCCAGAAGCAGACAAGCAGCAGGCACACAGAATGTCAGCAACAACAAGGTGGTGCCACAGATGGCTGCTAACTGGGCATTGCTCCAAAGAGCCTCAGTGTACAGTTTCTCTTTCCAGACTGAGAAACCTGAGCGATCACAAGGCTCTGAAAGTCAGAGTGTGTCACGGAGGCTGTGCCTTCTCCCTGTGTGTGTAAGACTCCCACCTGGGGATGTGAGATGGACGAGGACACCATCTTCCCGGCAGGTCATCTTCCTGGTGGAGGGGCATGTTGGCAAATCATCCTCCTATTCAGCCTTCGGGCTCCTTTCTGCAGATGTTTTCCACAATGCAATATTGATTTGCCAGCTCCCAACCAGACACTCCATTTAAATAGACATTGGGTCCCA